CAGTTATGATTCATAGTTCTATTCGGGCTTTTCTTGGTGTGGTGGCTAAGAATGATTTGGAGCTTGAGCATATGGATGTCTAGACAGCATTCTTACATGGAGAACTTGAGGAGAGCATCTACATGCAACAACCAGAGGGGTTCATAACTTCGGAGAAGGAAGACTGTGTGCTTGTTGAAGAAATCCTTGTATGTATTAAAGCAGTGACCGAGGCAGTGGTATAAGAGGTTTAATTCATTCATGACTACTCATGGTTTTGATAGATGTAATTATGATAGTTGTGTGTACTTCAGAAACGAAAGTAGCAGATCAACTACATATTTGTTATTATATGTTGATGATATGCTCATAGCAGCCAATGATAAAGCAGATGTCAGAAAAATAAAATTACAACTTAGCAATGAGTTTGACATGAAGGATTTGGGTGCTGCAAAGAAAATTCTTGGAATGGAGATCTTGAGGGATAGAAAGGCTAGTAGATTGTATTTAAGTCAGAATGGGTATATTGAAAAGGTGTTTGAAAGATTCAATATGGTGAAAGTTAAGGCTCTCAGTACTCTTTTGGCTACCTATTTCAAATTATCATCTAACTTGTGTCCACAGTTAGATGAAGACATTGATATTATGTCTCAAGTTCCTTACTCCAGTGCAGTTGGTTCGCTCATGTATACTATTGTTTGTACAAGACCTAGTTTGGCACATGCAGTTAGTGTAGTTAGTAGATACATGGTAAATCCTGGTAAGGAACATTGGAAAGCAGTGTAGTGGATCTTCAGATACTTGAAGGGCTCTTCAAATGCTTGTTTACATTTTGGTAGAAATCTAGATGGAGTCATAGGTTATGTGGATTCAGATTATGCAGGGGATTTTGATAAGAGGAGATGGCTTACAGGGTATGTGTTTACTCTTGGTGGCTGTGCTATCAGTTGGAAAGCTACTTTGCAAAATACGATGGCTTTGTCTACAATAAAAACATAATATATGGCCATGACAGAAACATGTAAGGAGACTATGTGGCTGAGAGGATTGATTGGTGAAATCAATGAAGACTTGCAGATTCCTACATTTTTCTGTGATAGTCGAGTGCAATTTTCTTGACTAAGGATCAATTGTTTCACGAGATGACTAAGTACATTGATGCGAGGTACCATTTTGTGCGTGATGTGATTGTTCATGGTGATATTTTAGTGAGAAAGGTTGATACCAAGGATGATACTACTAATATGATGACAAAACCACTTGATATTGCTAAGTTTGAGCATTGTTTGAACTTAGTGGGTGTTTGTCATTGATTTAGTCCATTGGAGCTTGTTTGGAAGAAGAGAAATGGTGTTTACTTGAAGATATATTTTAATTTCTTGTGATAGAATTTGGCTTAAGGTGAAGATTTTTTGTGGTGTGATCTAAATTCCAAGTGATTTGGTATTTGGTTGATTGGATTCCATGTGATTTAGAATTTAGTTAATTGAAAGAAGTTTAAAGTACTTAGGTTTGAAGAGTTCTAAGTTGTGAAAATCAAATTTCCATAATAATTAGGAGTTTAGTTTGAAAAGTGACTCTTAGATGACAAAAATGCTTGTTTTGAAATATTTACCTGAGACCTAGCGCCCGAACGCTAGACATATAGTGCTTGAGCGCTAGTCGTAGCACTGCTGCAGTGCCTAGGCGCTGCAACAGTAACCTTATCGTGATTTTTCTATTTTATCCGGATTTTGGGACTTCTTCTCCATCTTGAACTCCAATAAGAGAGAGTATATATATATTTTCATATTGTATCTCCATATTATAATATTCATATATTATTCTTTATATCTTCAACAACATATTGAGAGATTGAGAGTTTAGATTTCAATCGAGATTATTGAAATCTTGATATTTTAAACACAAAACTATTGATTATAGTGGATTGTTTTCCTCTGCCCGTGGTTTTTTCCCGAATTGGGTTTCTACGTAAATTCTTGTGTTCNTATATATATCCACATTGTATCTCCATAATACAAAATTCATATATTATTCTTTACATCTTCAACAATATATTGAGAGTTTAGATTTCAATTGAGATTATTAAAATTTTGATATTGTAAACACAAAACTATTGATTATAGTGGATTGATCTTCTCTGCCCGTGATTTTTCCCGAGTTGGGTTTCCACGTAAATTCTTGTGTTCTTTTTTTCTTCTTATTTATTTCATTATCTTCATTATCTTCTGATTCGTTTGATAACAATTTATGTGGTATATGAACAACTCACTAACTTAACTTGGCACAGAAGAACCACTTGAAGTTAGGAAAAAAGTATAGCTATTAAAAAACATTTGTTGTCAGTCGGTGTAAAGAGAGTTTATCGACTGTGATTTAACATAAGTTCAAAGCAGATATCAAGATCTCATTTTATAGAATTTAGCACTTAATATTAAATGAATCTATTCCTTCTATTGGACATATTGATTTTTTTTCCCTTTTTGTATAAACATTATTGATATCATTCTTGAACTAATAAACTCATTTCATTATGTCATTAGTTGTTAATACTTTGAATTAGGGATGGACCCAGCCCGCCATCCCAGCGCCGACCGGTCAACATCGACAATCAGCGATCGAAAGAGCGAAATCGTTTATTAATATTTAATTACATAATATTAAAAATTATTCAATATATATAAAATGCACTAAAATAGAACCGAAAAACTGTTTCATTCTTTTTAAGTTCCAGCACACAAGAAATACTTATGTTTACATAGTCTTGTTGGGATCTTAAATTATGTTTACATAGAATTTCCACTTTTACCTTCAAGTTATTTGCCTTGTCTGTTACTAAGGAATGTTACAAAATGTGTGCATTGGCCTACTTGCACTGGTTGACATTTAGCCCATGTTTTACAATCATTTTTTCAAATTTTTTTTTCTACGTACTCATTTTTAATCATACATTTACACAATAAAATATTTTACATATAAACTCAAAATTTTTCCCACTTGTTAACCACACATTCTCAGGAAAATCAATATTCAAAACTCAATTTTCCACAAGAAATGGTTGTCAAGCAGGGACTTAATATCCACATCGTCTCTTGGTACAAAATAAACTCTTCATCTATCCTTTGCTTACCAGTTAAATTAGCCTTCTTTACATGATCTCTAGCAGGAGTTGAGGAACTAANGATAAACCATAAAAAATCAGTAAATTAGTATATACTATCATAGAGACACAGCCCACTAGCCACGGGACAAAATAGTTCATAAAAAAAAATTAACAGCCTACGAGAGTCAAGACAACAGTAGAACTTACGGTTTCGGCCCTCGGAGTCGCTGCCTGAGCGCTGCTGCGCGCCGGACAGTTTGCCGCTTTGCGAGTTGCGACGGTGTCACGGTCATGTTGGGTTCTGAATCGGCTGACTGGTGAGTAGTCGGTCGAAGAGGGAGAGCTAAGAGATTGGGGAATTTGGGAATTAGGCAATTAGGGATTGTCGATTGATTTCAAAATTCCTTTTGATTTTGTATTATTTTGATGGGTTTACTCATGTATGTCTATAGGGGAAATTAGGCCTACTGCCCCAAAAAAATTAAGAATTTTGAATAATACATGTTAATTAATTAATGCGTTTAATCACGTAATTAATACTTCTAAACTTCCAAAACCATTGCGGCATTTCGTTCAGAAGAGCATCATCAATGGCGAAACCTCTAGGACCCACATGCGAGTTCTTTAGGAGGCGGGACAAGTGGCGAAAGCACCCGATGATGACGAACCAGTGGCGCCACGCCACCCCAGCTTGGCTTCGCTCCCGTTGCTTTTGGAGTGAGAGTAGAAGAACCAGCAGGAGCACGAGCCGATGATTTTGCAACATTTTCTTCAGGTTCTGAACTTGACTTGCTCATAGAGAATATTTCTGACCTTGGGTTGAAACTTTCACACTTTCTCTTTGCAAAACCACCCATTTGCTTTTCTACGGCAAGAAGTGCAACTGAAGATAGTTCTTTTGCGTAAAAGTTGTGATTCTTGATTGTTTAAAGCAACACCCGATAAAGCTCCCTCCTTCCTAGAGCAACATCAGGGCTAACTGTATTTGAATCTGGGAGGACTTGATTTGGCAAACATCAAATTAGCCCTTGATTGATCCAGGTTGAGGTTTCCCTCTCCTGCACTTGCTGCTAGCTCAAAAGGAGTGGAACTTTCAACCACGAGATCAATGCTAGCACGAGAAAAGCTAGATCTAGTCTAAGGTTAAACACCATTATCAGGTTCTAAAGACAACTTCTCCAAGGATACAGAATAAGATCTTGCAGCGATGGAGTTGCATATAGCTGACACGGGAGAAACAGGAGAATCTGATGAATCC